TGAATCTCCTTAAGCTTCATAATGCAAAAAAAGCACCAAAGAGCTTTCTGCAAGTGCACACAGCAGGTAACGAGCAGGGACAGCTGCAGCATTCCCTCACCCACCCCCATCTCTGCTTCTAATTCCCCACTTTCTGCACTGAATTTTGTGAGTGACGTGGCAATGCTCTTCCCAAAGCCCTGTGGCTCTTTAAGGTCTGTGATGTAGAACACCCATCAGCCATGAGAATCCTGACCCTGTGTGATGGGTGAGAGCACAGGACTGATGTCTACTTCAAGAGCTAAGAAGTGTCCTGTCGGGCAAGGCATAGCAAGAGAGGTTTCAATGTCAGCCAGAGACCTAAAGCCAGTCCCAGGATGATGAATTCTATCCTGTCCTTATACAAGAGAACCTCAGTGCACAGGGAGAAAAGGAAGAGGCCATCCACCTCAGCATGCAGGTCTGTGGAGCAGCAAGTATTTTCCAAAGGAAAGCACAGGGTCTAAGGAGCCCTGGTGAGTAACTGCCCACAACACACACACCAGCCAACAGCACTTCTGTTCCAGGACGGGGATGGAATCCAGCAAACCCAACCCCACCCGCTTCGGGTCAGGAACAGAACTGACATGGAAGAGGCTCTGGCTGCAGAGACTGCACTGTGAACTGCCTGGCTCCTCAGCTCCAGCAAGGAGATGCTGCCCTAAAGGGAACAGCAGCAGCTTTCCTCGCCCCAGAACATTTAATGGCAGAACTCAGACAACATGGAATGAATCACATTTAAATGAGCACACAAAGTTTACACAACACGACACAGCAGCTTTCACAAGGGACTGCTTGGCCAGACCGTTAGTGTTGGGGAGCACTCAGGCCGTGCCCTGGCCTCACCAAACATCCCCCCCCTGCCCCCAGAACACTCCTGCCTGCCCTGACTGCTCTGAAACACGGTAAATAGGCTACTAGACCTGAGTGAGCGGCAAGAACTTCTGGTAATAGCTCTTTGTAACGTCAATCATGAGCTCCTGGGTACATTCCGGGAGTTCCCCAGAGAAGAGACCTGGAAGGAGAACAAGAGTATGGCCGTCAGCTTCTTGCAGGAGAAAGCAGAAGTAAGTTGATATTCACCATTCCAAGCAGTGACTTTGATTGAATTGTGAGGGAACAGCAAAGGGCTCTTCAGCAACAAGTTTCACAAGTTAAAATTGTTATTTCTGTTCAGCCAGTGCCCTGTATCTCTATTTCTAGGGCTAAAAGGCAACTTTGTCACAGTGATCTCATTTAAAAATAAGAATGTCCACGTTATCCATGCTCCTGTGCAGATGAAGCTGGAGGAACCATACCTGGGCAGCCCGAGAAGACCGTGAAAGGTGGGACCACTGTCTCAGGAGGCAGCACTGTGTTGTCCAAGATTTTGCAGCAGTCTTTCAAAACGCATCTACGACCCTAAAGCAGAGATCAGGTAAAGTTTATACTTAAAATACTACATGCTTCTGCTCATCCCTAAGTTACCTGAACTTCAGCAAATTTAACTGCTCAAAACACATTCCCTATAAGGGATCATGGGAATAAATCTTACCCTCACCAAATGCTCTTCCCAACAGAATTCACCTTTTCCTGTTTTGAGGAAAAGCAGCCTGTTTGCTCTCGACTAACACACCCCCGAGCAGCTGGACGCTAACACCTCAGTGTGCAAAGGGGAGCCCAGAGCCCGAGCCGTGCAGTAAGGCAGCGAGGCCGCCTCTGACCCAGCAGCAGCCTTGGCTGTTCTGCATTATGTGCTTAAAACCACAGTTCCACTCGTACTTGATGGACAGGCTGCCCTCCCTGGACACTGTCACTGGCCACAGGGACAACCCTGCTGGGACAAGTTCTCCGAACAGCTGAACCTGCTGATCTCAGAAGAGCCAAACTGACAGCACGGCTTGCTGAGGAGAAGGAGAAGAGGAGAAAGGAGCAGCACAGGGTACGTGTGCTCCAGCCCGCTGGGCGGGTACCCCCCTGCTGCTGTCACAGAGCCCCACAGTACCCGAGGGTTCAGAGGAACAGCACTCACAATGACACAGTTCTTGCCAATGTGGACGTAGGAGCCGATCTGGGCTGCGTTGACGACACAGTCCTCTTCTATGAAGACATGGTCACCAATGTGGAGAGGGAAAAAAGCCACCCTGCAACAGGAGAGTCATTTGCTCAGGTGTACAACCCACAGATCCACGACACCGCCAGACCCAAGATCATGGGGTGGCATCTCCCATCTCCAGCTGCACAACCAGAGGCAGAGCTGATACCGAGGGAGGTTAAACAGCAACTGCTCTTCTCTCATCTCCTGCTAAGGCCCAAATGAGCCCCAGGGAGCCATAAAGATTGAACAAAGAATGAGTGAGGCGTGTCCTTCACTAGCTATGTGACTGTATCCCAGCCTGTCCATGCTGTGGTCTGGGGGAACACCAACCCTCAAGGCAGAGCCAGAAGTTGGAGGGAAAGGCAGGTTGAGAGGGACATATTTCTGCAAATTGCTGCAGAAGCATCACAGCCCTCCCACACAGACCTCAGCCAAGGAAGGGTATTTTTTTAGGTTTTAGATTTTAATTTCAGTCTCCCTAAAGGACAGGAACCTCTCACCCTTTGCTGAACTTCTTGAAGGGTGGTCGAATGACGCTGCGGCTTTTCACCACACAGTGACGTCCAACCCGGACGTTTGCCAGGTCACCACGGATGATGCAGTCGTTCATAACTATGGTCTGGAGAGGAAAAGAGAGATAAAGGAGCTCCAGTTTCTATCAGTTATTACACAGACTCATTCAGTGGCCAGGCCACTCCAGCGAGATTATGTCACCTTACAGGGGATTCTTTCAGTCAAAAGAAAATCAAGAACAAAACAAATGCCACAGGAGCTGGAACCGGCAGTGGTGCTGCCATCACGGCAGCGAGCTGCACAGAGGGAGCCAGGACACAAAGCGGCTCAAACACAGACAGAAATACGCGGCTGCAGGGATGAAAGCACCGCGAGCTGCCCGCACGGAGAGGAACTCTGTGTCCCGGGAGAGCAGAGCCCCGGTCCCACGGGGCCGACAGCGGCTGGCAGCGGACAGCGGACAGGACCCCCGCGCCTTGGCCCGCCCCGCTCCCACCCAGCGGCTC